AGACTGGTGTAGAACTCTGGCAACAGTTGCTGTATGCTCAGACTGATGGAGAACTCTGGCAACAGTTGCTGTATGCTCAAACTTGTGTAGAACTTGGGCAACAGTTGCTGTATGCTCAGACTGGTGTAGAACTCTGGCAACAGGTGCTGTATGCTCAGACTGCTGTAGAACTCTGGCAACAGGTGCTGTATGCTCAGACTCTCTATCTCACCCCTGCAGCCTGTAGCTCCTTCAGGGAGGTCTCATGAGTCTCAACGGTCTCTCTGTCCTTCTTCACGGTCTCTCAGGCTGTGAGAACAGCCTGCTCCTGGTAGATTTACACGTTCCCACATTCCTTCCATGTCCTGATGATGGTTCTAACATCCTGACTCGTATTTGTCTCTGAACAGTCTCTTTCAAGGGGGTGAATATTTATTCAGTCATTAATCTGACATCATTTATTTTGATTATTGGTAGAAGTTTAATTTATCTTCGATGTTGAAGTTTATTGACATCGTTTTGTAAAGAATATAGTTTTTATTGTCCACGTCTGATAAAAACATAACAGAGAGCACAGACAGAACTCTGGTCTCTCCTGAGGGGTCCCTGGACCTGTTCCTGCACCAAGAACCGAGCCAGATCAGACTTCAGATGTATATTTCATTCAAGTCAGTCATTTTAAGACTTATTTTGAAATCTGTCTCGGCTCATCAAAATAAATATCAGTAATTTCTTGGTAAGAAATCCATCCATCCATCCATTCATCCATCCATCCATCCATCCATCCATCCATTCATCCATCCATCCATCCATCCATCCATCCATCCATTCATCCATCCATCCATTCATCCATCCATCCATCCCATCATCCATCATCTTCCTCTTGTTCTGAACTCAGTTCTTGGGGGCAGCATCTTGATCAGGGAGGTCCAGACATCTCTCTCCACAGCCTCTTCCAGCTGGTCTGGGAGGACTCCAAGGTGTTCCCAGACCAGCTGGGAGACGTAGTCTCTCCAGTGTGTCCTTGGTCTTCCCTGGGGTCTCCTCCCAGTCAGACATGCCTAAACCACCTCCCTAGGGAGACGCCCAGGGAGCCTCCTCACCAGATGAACCACCTCAACTGGCTCCTCTGGATGTGGAGGAGCAGAGGTTCTACTCTGAGTCTCTCCTGATAACTGAACTTCTCCCCCTGTCTCTGAGGAGAGTCCAGCTACCCTGCAGAGGAAACTCATTTCAACCTCCTTGATCCATGATCTCATTCTTTCAGTCTCTACCAGAGTTCATGACCAGAGGTGAGGGGAGGAACGTAGACTGACCAGTAAACAGAGAGCTGTGTCTTACAGCTCAGCTCCCTCTTCACCACAACAGACCGGCACAGTGTCCACAATACTGTAGACGCTGCACCAATCCATTGGTCAGTCTCACCCTCCATTCTTCCCTCACTCATGAACAAAACCCGGAGATACTTGAACTCCCCCACTTGAGGCAGACCCTCACCCTCGACCTGAAGAGAACAATCAGTAAGAAATCAAGCGTATAAAATTATTTGTCCTCCTACATCCAGGCAAAGATGTAATCAAGAAGTGTGAGCTTGCGGGTTTGACCCGGTAGAAGCAGGAAGCGAACCTCCTGTGTGTGGTGTGGGACGCACCCCATCCATGTCGAAGGTGAAGAAGACCTGCTCCACGTAGCTGTTGGCGTGCTCGGTGATGCCCTTCAGGTTCAGGATGGCCTTGAGCTCGAACAGCGTGATGAGGCCTGACGGGGACTCCCTCATGAACTTGTTGTACCAGTGGTGCATGTCCTCGGCCAGGATGTCGTCCAGGTTGGACCCGTGGTTCCCCATGGCTGCTGGAGGACGGTGCTGAGGGATGAAGCTGGATCAGGTTCTGCCTGTTGGGACTCTGGAGACTCGGAGCAAACGTCAGGACTCTTTAACCCTCTTAGGTTCTGGGAGAATCCACAAATCCCAAAATAACTCCTTAATGAGATGAGCTGCTCTGCTGCAGGAGACCGGGCCAAGACCGGGCCTGGGCCTGCTGAGTCCAGGACAACCAGGCCATCTGGGTGCAGAAGGGTTAGAAAACCGACTGACCTGGTTCCTCAGATCTCATCCCAAACGGGACGTTCTTTGTCCATGCAACTTCTGCAAAGCTCAGAACCCTCAGGGAGTTCTGGTTCCTGGAACCATTCTCTGAGTTCCAGATTTAACCTTCTGAGCCAGACTGAACCAGTCTGGACCTGCAGATCACATCAGGTCTGGATCCTCCACAGCCTCAGAACTCAGGTTCTGTTTGTTCTGCTCTGATCCCCATCAGAACTAACGAGTCCAAAACAGCTGAAGGATCCCATTCTACTCCAAGTGTTGCGGTTCCGCCGGTCTAGATACCTCAGTCTGATGGGTCATTAGAACCAGTTAGGACCAGGAGGTTCTGATCTAGAGGGTCCAGGTGTGTTAACACAATACCAAGATCAGCAATGCTGCTACCCATCAATCTGGGAGGAGTCAAAGGTCATTTAGAGGTCATCGTTCTACAGAAAGGTCCTTCACACGTGACATTTCAGATGGCTGATTCACCCTGAAGGTCAGACCGTGCCGTGACTCTACAGGCCTCAGTCAGCAGGTCAAAGGTCACAACATCCTCTTTAAAAACAACATGGCAGCTCCACCAAGGCTCGTAAAGTTTCATCTGACGGAACCACAATACTTCTGGACCAGAACCAGAGGAGAGGACAGATGTTTACCCAGAATGCAAACATCCCAGATGTCAGCACGGTAGTGGAGGCTGATGGTCTGGGCTTGAGTTTTGGTTTAGTTTTTTTGAAATCTGAAATTAAATTTATTTATTTTATTAAGGGAAACAGAATTTCAGAATAAAATGTCCTGCAGGACATCAGTCCGGTGTTTGGGTTCTGGTTTTAACAGGAAGTAGTTCGGTGCTGCAGACGTGGAGCTCTGCTGGGTGGTTTCTGACAGCAAAGCCTTCTGGGACAGTGAGTCTTCTTGTCCAGCAGCTGACCCTGAGCAGCTTCAGCTCCTGGCAGCGACGCAGAGTTTCCACGGTGGAAACCTCCTGCTGACGGTTTGATCCCGGGTCAAGGATCAAACAGATTATCTGGGTCCAATTTAGCCTCAGAGCCGCTCCACCCAGAACCTTTTTTCCAGGGAGAAGTCCCCGGCAGATTATGTCCTCCTGATGGACACGAGCCAGCTGTGGGATGTCCTCTCAGCTCCTCTGAGCATGCTCAGAAGAGACAGAGCGAGGTGTGACGTTGACTGAACTCTTTTTGTCCCTCCTGGGCCCCTGTAGGACACACAGCTACAGTCTGGCTGGACTCTTTCAGCTTTGTGTTGACTTGATTTTAGCTGATGTCCCTAAATGTTCGGCTCATTCAGGACAAGGCTGCTGTGACTTTCCTTTGAACAGATTGTTCTCTTTGAAATCTGCTCGGCTGCTGGTTGTTTGATCCTCCCGGACACCTTCAGCTTTTCTAACCTTCGGCTAATTTTAGCTTTAGATGCTGTTCTGCTACTGTTCCCTTTAAATCATCCATCCATCCATTCATTCATCCATCCATTCATTCATCCATCCATTAAAACTCACCAGGGGTGTCGAACTCATTTCCACCGAGGACCACTTCATCAAAGGGCCACATGTGACTGTAAGACAATACATTTAACTAAATGTAATGTAAAATTAACACAACTACTTTTTAATGTTAAATAACTCTGATTTTTTTTTACTTATTTAAATTACAAATATTACATATATATATTTGCATAGATGAAGAAAAACATATCTGTTGTTATAAAACCTGTTATGAATCCCACATTATTCCATAAATCAATTATCAAACTTTCCAAGTGAATAATGAAAACTAAGTTATGAAATTAAGTTTGTTCAAAACTTTCAGTCCTGGTTCAGGGGGCACAACGGTCCAGCCAACAACTGTGAGCCGCTAAGAACACGTGACAGGTTTTACAACAAACAAAAGTCTGCACAGCCTCTGTGAGAGAGGGTTTTATTATAGACAACATTTGTCTGCATAAACACATTCACCTACAATCCCAAATACATTGCTGCAAATTTAACAGAATATAATCAAAGACATTTAGTAAACTCAAAATAACATCAGGGTTGAAGGCTCACTGTGGCCGACGCAGACTGTTCTCTTTGACGACCTCACACCAGTTTCTCTCCTTGAAGCACAAACTTCTTGAAACAGCTTCATCTGCATCAATGTTTCTCTTCCTGGACATTTTTGGATCGTTGTTTGTATTTCTCAATTCCACTTGTTTGGAAAATGATATTGATGTGGAAAAGCTGCAGCCTAGTGGTGGGATGCTGTTACTTTGCGGGTAACATAATCGGCATGCATTATGGGAAATGTAGTCTGTTGTCAGTGCACCTGATATGACAGTCAGAGTCGCGGGCCACATGAAATGATGTGGGGGCCACATGTGGCCCGCGGGCCTTGAGTTTGACACGTGTTAAACTGTCTGAGCTTCATGTTGTGGACGTCTCATTCCCCACAACAACAACAATGAAACGCTGATTTTAATTTTTATCTTTTAAAAAATTAAATTTGGAAACAAATTCTTGAATCAGTTTTTATTAAAACAATATTTTTTCTGAACTTTATAAAGGTTCATGTAGATGATTAATCTTACAATTCAATCACAATAAAAAACTTTATTTCACGTTTTTTTCCTGGAACAAAACTTCAGTTTTACTTTCAGACATGAGAAACAATAACGTTGAAGTTCAAATGTTCATCAAAACATAAAGATCTGATTTTTTTAAGGCGGAGCTCCTGAGAGCTTCAGCTGCGACGTCACGTGGTTCCGCCTGACGAACAGGGTTTCCCACCCAGCTCTGCAGGGGCTCAGAGTGAGCGCGCTCACGCGTTGGTTCTGTCATCATGATGATCTCTGAGGGAGAAACATTAAAATATCTGTAAATAAAATAAACCTGACGATTTTAATGTTTCTGAGCATCAAATGAACTTCTTCTAAAACATAATTTTACTTGAAATTATTTATTTTAATAAAACAGATGGTGGTGCTCACACTCCTGTGGAGGTGAGGGTTTCATTCGAAAGGAGCCTTCAGAGGTGCCTGGAAGTTATTTCTACATAAATATATTATTTCTGCGGCGTCGTGAACCGATGAGAGTTGAGAGACTCCTTCAGCTTGACAGCCTCCCTAACCCGGGGTGTCCACCACCGAGTTCGAGGATGACCACAGCTCGAAGCAGCCACTTCAACAAGTGAGGAGCAGAACATGGTCCACGCCGACTCAATGTTCCCACCTCAGCTGGGATGAGGTTAAAGCTCTGCTGGAGGTGTGAGTTGAAGATCTCTCTGACAGGTTCTTCTGCCAGGTGTTCCCAGCAAACCCTCACTACATGTTTGGTTCTACTGGGGCTGTCCAGCATCTTCCTCCACCATCTGATCCAACTCACTACCAGGTGGTGATCAGCTGACAGCTCAGCTCCTCTCTTCACCTGAGAGTCCAAAACAAACGGCTGCAACTCAGAAAACATGACTACAAAGGCCATCATCGATCTACGCCCTCGGGCGTCCTGGTGCCACGTGCACGTATGGACACCCTGATGTTGGAACATGGTGTTCATGATGGACAAACTATGACTAGACACAAGTCCAACAACAGAACACAGCTCGGGTTCAGAGCAGTTCCTCCCAGTCACGTCCCTCCAGGTCACACTGTCTCTACCCACCTGAGCATTGAAGTCCCCCAGCAGAATAAAGGAGTCTCCAGCTGGAGCACCTTCCAGCACCCCCACCAAGGACTCCAAGAAGGCTGGATACTCTGAACTGCCGTTTGGCTCATAGGCACAAACAACAGTCAGAGCCCGTCCCCTCACCTGAAGGTGCAGAGAAGCCACCCTCTCATCTACTGAGTAAAAACTCCAACACACAGGCACCAAGTCGGGGGGCTAAGAGTAGACCCACACCAGCTCGGCGCCTCTCACCATGGACAACTCCAGACTGGAATAAGTCCCTCTCAAGGAGATCGGTTCCAGAGTCCATGCTGTATGCCGAGGTGAGCCCAACCAGATCTAGTTAGTACCTCAACCTCATGTACAAGTTCAGGCTCTGTCCCCACCAGAGAGGTCACGTTCCATGTCTCAAGAGCAGCTTTGGTAAACCAAGGTCAGAGCACCAAGGTCCCCGCCTTCAGTCACTGCCCATGGAGTCATGTACCCGACTCATATGGCCCCTGCTGCAGGTGGGCTGCTCCTTCGGGCTGAGCCCGACCGGGTCCCATGGGTAGAGACCCGGTCACCAGACCCTGCCAACGAGCCCCTCCCCCAGGCCTGGCTCCAGGGTGGGGCCCGGTAACCCATGACAGTTTGTTAGAAACACAAACAAATGAAAAACAAAAAGTCAGACCATCACCTTTTCTTTCGTTTCTTCAGTTGGAACTGCTTCCGGTTTGTCTACAGTGTTCTCCTCCTTCCTCAGGTGTGATGAAGACAATCCTCCCTCATCTTTCCTCCCATCAGAGATGATCTTCATCTCCTCCTCCTCTTCATTTTTCTCAGTTTGCGAAGAAGCATCTGTCTGAACGTACTTAATGAAAACCTCCTCACCTCCTCCTCTTCCAATTACTCCTGTTTGCTCCTCCGCTTCACTCTGGGAGATTACTTTAGTGTCGGCGACGTCGCTGACCTCGTCTCCACCGCTGGACTTCCTGTGGCAGCGGGACGGAGGACGGCGACGGATCGAGACTCTAGCTCTGCCCTGATGACAATAGTCAGAGTGGAGACACAGGTGAGGACCGACAAGTGAGGACAAAGATGAGAACTGACAGGTGAGGACCGACAGGTGAGGATTGACAGGTGAGGACTGACAGGTGAGGACCGACAGGTGAGGACTGACAGGTGAGGACCGACAGGTGAGGACTGACAGGTGAGGACCGACAGGTGAGGATTGACAGGTGAGGACTGACAGGTGAGGACCGACAGGTGAGGACTGACAGGTGAGGTCACTGATGAGGGTCGACAGTAGAGGACACAGGTGAGGACTGAGAGGTGAGGACACTGATGAGGACTGACAGGTGAGGACCGACAGGTGAGGACACTGATGAGGACCGACAGGTGAGGACACTCATGAGGACTGACAGGTGAGGACACAGGTGAGGACACAGGCGAGGACCCACAGGTGAGAACAGACAGGTGAGGACACAGGTGAGGACCGACAGGTGAAGAACAAGAGGGGAAGACACAGGTGAGGACCAACAGGTGAAGAACAAGAGGTGAAGACACATGTGAGGACCGACAGGTGAAGAACAAGAGGTGAAGACACAGGTGAGGACCGACAGGTGAAGACTGACAGGTGAGGACAGAGGTGAGGACCGACAGGTGAGGTCACCGATGAGGACTGACAGTAGTGGACACAGATGAGGACTGACAGGTGAGGACACAGGTCAGGACCAACAGGTGAGGACACATATGAAGACCGACTGGTGAAGAACAAGAGGTGAGGACCGACAGGTGAAGACGACAGGTGAGGAAAGAGGTGAGGACCGACATGTGAGGACACAGATGAGGACTGACAGGTGAGGACACATGTGAAGACTGACT